TTCTCAATAAAAACAACCATTGAACAAGAAAATGAAACTATAGATTGTTATATATGTAGGTATAAGATACTTTGCTGAAGTTGTACAGGTCCAGGCCTAATGTTCTAGGCTACATAAACCTAAATAAGAAGTGTCGCCGGCCGACTGTGTGATGCCAATTTTTCGGGCTTAAAACGAAGCCTTAATGGCCTTTGACAAGTGGGGAGCTGGAATCTCAGCACTCCCGAAATGTTGGTGAAAACTCTGGAACTCTGTTTAGGTTGAAATTATTATGTGTAAATTGATTTAGAGTTATCTCATAAAGAAAAAATTCATCCACGCATATTAAAAATAAGTCTGCCAATTTACGCGCAAATGTTGCAGTAAAGTCGGCCGGTGGCTATTGTAACCAATGTATAGGCATTCGCAGTGTTAATGCGAATCTGCGGACCTATTTTCTCGAAATTTCCTGCACAAATGAAGAAAAATACTGAAAAATTTAAAGAAAGTGTACAGAAAATATAATTAATGTTTCAGTAATAATAATTAATAATGTTATAATCAATAATATCAATCCACTCAAGTAACTGCAGATTTTGGCAGTCCATTGACTAGACAGTTTAGCTAGCACATTATTACTGCTCATGTTTTTCTTTTTTATATTGTGTATATCTGTTAATAATTAACAGAAATTTGTAATTTTCTTAGAAATATTCCTAACAATTGAAACTTTCCATGAAATACTTTCCCTTTCCTTCCAGTTAGGTTGAATTTTTTACCTTGCACCATTTTTCTTTACTATCCCTTTAATATCTATTTTCTTTTTAATATTGTTTATCCTTTTTCTTATTTCATTTTTGATACTTACCTTTCTTTTAGTTTTTTCATTGTCATTTTCTTTCCACCATTTTACTTCTTTCTTTTTTTTCTTTCCTTCCTTTTGTTATTTCTTATTTATTATTTTTCTTTCTTTTTTTTTTTCAATTTTTAAAAATCTGTTCTCTTATTATCTTAGGGGATGCGAAAAGGATGGGGAAATATGTGCTACTAATATAATTACTTGGGCTACCAAATTTTTTTGGGGGGTGCCAGAAAATGTTGGCAGTGCTACCAAGAAAAAAAGTTAATTTCAAGCCCTGGCAGCTACAGGTAGTAGGCTAGATCACGCTGATGGTGGCCACATTGTGCTGCACACAGAAATATCCATGCTGTTCGCATTGTACTTTCCTGCTCTGGAATAGAGCCTGGTTATTTTTCTTGAGCAAAATTCACTTATACCTGATTCACACGTACAAAAATCTACAAAAATGTAACAAATTCTTACATTTGCCCAAGCTTGTGAATGCACATCCTTGTAAAACAAATGTAACATCGTAATAGCTCGGTAATCTTTACTGACATCAGCGAGGTCTGTAAAGATTACCGAGATGTTACATGACGATGAATGCGCATGCCCAGGAATTTTAATCGAATCGACATGGCCTAGCCAGCTGTGTGGCGTGAATTATTTCAAAACAAACCAAGCCTAATTTCTAGCCGGCCTAGGATAATTGCTTATTAATATGTACTGCAACATTCAGAATGGAGGAATTCTTATTATCCGTGGTTATTGATGAAAAGAGAAGAAAATCAAACAACAAACATCGTGATTCTAGTGTCATTAGGATAATCAAACGACGTCAGAAATTTCGCCGACAGCTTTTTACTATGCTGATGAATTTGATTTCTTTGAACATTTGCTGGAACAGTAAGTAAAGTAGCCTAGCCTAGGCCTAGCTTGTTCGATTCTCGGCCGATCTTAATATAATAAATATACTGCCTAAAACCCTCCATTTTTAGACTCCTGTAAACTTAGGATATATAACGCCTATTTGAATGTGTCTCTCCTGCAGTGGCGGCGCCAGCGGGGTGGCAGGGGCGGCTTAATCCCCCCCACCGAACAGGTCAAGCCCCCCCGCCGGACAAAGCTCGTCGGGCAGTCAGACCATAAACATATAAAAATAGGCCCACACCAAGCAAACACGCCTGTCACAGTCTGAGAGTGCCATTTTCGGCTATCTAGAGGTTGATATTCCTTTAAAAAAATCTCATTTGGGAGGGGGAACCCCCCTCTCAACCCCTAGTTTCCCAGCTCAAGCCTACGAGCTCAAGTCCCCCCTGTCGGACAACTTAGCCCCCCCAGAAAATATATCCTAGAGCCGCCACTGCTCTCCTGACCTAGGCTAGGCTAGACTGCGTGTGTGTTGCTCACGGAAAATCGCAAGTTGTTCTCGGGTGGGACTCGAACCCACGATCTCCAGATCACTAACCTGGCATCATACCACCGAGTTTTGATACAGGGGTTTATTTATGAATTTGAGTAGCAGGAGAAATTTGAAAGTAACAGGAGAGTAAATTAAAATAGGCCGGGCTAGGCCCCCATCGGGGTCCAGGGGTAGAGCCCTGGTCAGGGGTCAAGGGGTGAAGCGCCATTGCGCTCCAGGGTTTTAGAGTTTTTAAGCCCATTTGATAGCATTTCTCTACATCATTTTTTTAACAGTTTTCAGAATCAACTACTGACCTGTAAAAAAGTTGATATTTTTACATATTCTTCATACATAGGCCTAGCCTAAATATGAGTAAACCAGAAACTTTTGCGAATTGATAATTTCGGCCGTTTTCGCGACATTAAACTTTCGCGAATCTCAAAAACCTAAATTTAATTCATGAGAGGAATATCATACAATAGCTGAAAATATCGTATCGTGAGTTTAGGCCTAGGTTAGATAGGCCTACAGCCACTGTGTAGGCTACAGTATCTAGGCCTAGGCAGGCTTAGGCGCCATAAGCCTGCAGCCTAACTCAGTTGCTAGGACCAGGACTTTAGCTGGCTATCCCAGGCACAGATAAGAAAGAGACAAGTTTACACACATACAGACTCGCTCATATGATATTCCTCAATTTTGTATGGTATTCAAGCATCCTACAAAATGAACAATGTATATCAATGTTTTATTAACAAATTATTTTCCTGTAGGCCTAATATCGATTCAAACATTGATTGATGATGATTGAACATCGTGGTATGTCATATGGTACGGAAAATTAGTTTCCCATTTGAACTTCTTAGTATACACTTCACAGTGGTTGCACATGTGCAATCACATGCAGTGATGATCATAACCTCCTTGATTAGTATACTTACTGAGTAGGTTAGAATAGGCCTAGAATTTACGAATTTTTCGAGCTCAACATCGGAATTTAAGGTCAGAATATTGATTCAATAATTGAAATACATTCTTCTTAAGTTTATACACATTTAATAAAATCCACCAAAATAAATTGAAAATACAATTTTTATAATGATGAAGTTGTTTACTTTTCACAAACATGTTGAAATTTGTGGGGATTCACCATTTAGGCCTATGCCCGGGCCCTAGATGCGTTGAAGAAAACATCTAAGGAGAGCAAAAAATAGTTCTAAAATTTACGCAGATATCGAAAAGGAATGGATACCACATTGGAAAAAAAATGTACCTCATGTGATGATGTGAATTGAGACGATTTTGGCTTGCTCTGACGTTTTAATCATTGTACTATCTATGACTCTGAAATTGTGAGTGTAAACAGCATTCAATATAGTTGGTTCGCCTTGCTACCTCCGCTACTGAGTGTAAACGAATTTGAGCCAGTGTTGGTTTTTTTTTTAATTAGTTATCATTTCCGAAATATCTATGTCATCACAAAGTGGCCTAGTAAAATAAAAATGAAATGAAAATAAAAGGTTCATAGTCATACACAAATTAATTTTAAATGACGATCTGTTTTTTTCTTCTCCGCGGTAAGAAAACCCGGAAGCCTAATGTACGGAAAAAGAGTTTGGGCGATTGGGTCATCACCTGAGTACATGGTGGTGGAGGAGAAATTTCTATTATCTTATTGGCTAACATATGATTTGGAGGCGTGGCTTCTTTGATGGACTCACCCAGGCGCGACTGCCGAACTTTGAACTTAACTTTGTTTACGCCGCGAGTTCATGAAAGTCAAACATGGAGTCTGAAAATTGGTAGACATTTTAACGAACTTTCAACAGAAAGGAACATTGAAATGAGTGCATACTATTGCAAATTAACTTTGTGTAGGTTTAAGGTTCTTTACAGGTCTGTTGCGCTATTTATATTGGTGGTTTTTGTATTACTTTTTGTACAGCATTGATTGAAGTAGCAGGCGAAAACATCGTAGTAGCCGATCGAATGCGCTGGCCGCCGGCTCTTAAATAAACCCCTGTGATAGTAATTGTTATTGTCGTGATGGAATAATAGACAATAACTGGATTTGCGTCAGGAGAAACAGGTGTAATTTGGCCATTTGGCCTGGCCATCAGGCGCAAGCTCGGTGGTCTAGAGGTATGATGCCAGGCTAGTGATCTGGAGATCGTGGGTTTGAGTCCCACCCAAGAACAACTTGCGATTTTTTTCGCAGTTGTTTTCAAATGTACTGAGTATTCAGTACATTTTCACGTCAGGTAGGGCAAAATTACACCTATACATGTTTCTCCTGACGCAAATCCAGTTATTGTCTATTATTCCATCACGACAATAACAATTACTATCAATACCAAGTAGATCATTTATCAATAGTATACAGGTGATTAGCCTGGGTTCCAGGCCCTAATTTTGGGTTATTCACTTTTTATTGCACTTAATGCATGCCATACTAAAATTAATTGGCGTTCCATACTCAATTTTTTTTTTTTTTAGAATGAACCAAAGATCAAATTATAACTCAACTTTATTCACTCGTTGACAGTGCTGTCTAGAACAAAGAAAAACTATAACAAGGGACTTGTGGCAAGTCTAACATCTACTGATTTATATCTTTTTGCCCTTCTCTTATATGGGAAGCCAAGAGATATATAGAATAAGGTTATAATTTTCATGTTTTTTTACATATCAAATCAAATAGAATATAGATACTAATAATCAATAATAAATATATAAGATTTTAACTTTAAGAAATGTATTAGAACAGAAACAAAATTGTCACAACATCACACTTACTACATTTTGAATATCCTTGTTTGCTCCTGATTCAATCAGAATTCTGCAAACTCTAGTATGACCCTCTGCAGCACTTCTGTACAATGCCGTTTTCCCATCCTACAAAATTATAATTTATAACAATATACATAAAAATGGAGAATAAGTGAGCATGTTTTCTTTATAATCACTTAGCACTCTTATGGTATCTAGTACAGATGGAAGAAATACAAGTACTGTATAATAAATACATTCAATGCGGACTTGCATTTTCCAGTTAAGTTTCGACAGACAAAACAAATTTTCAATTATTTTTTTATTCATACAGTATGTAGATATATCCTTTGCGAATATTTTAAAGAAAAAATTATATTGAGACGACCATCCGTTAAGGATTTATGATTTTCTAGGTTACATAACCTCAACAACAACATAATTTCAATGTCTGAAATCAGACAGCTACAAGTACCAGTACCTCCGAAAATATGGTCAAAACGCTATGTTATTTCTATTGTTTATGCTTTGCTGCTCAGAGTATTGTTTGTCATCGAACGAAGTAGTCCACCGGAAATACGGATTTGACTGGACAAAATTGCAACAAAACGTTTTATGATCTAAATATAAACTTAATTATATGTAAAACAACATACTAAAAGTTTACCAAAATAGGACATACATAAAGGTGTTCTTTATAACCAAAAGTTCAGCACTATTTGAAAGTAGACTTTTACACAGTACGTACTACGGTTTTCAAACTTTTCTTGATTATGATTGGTCAACGTTTAGGTCAACGTAGGTCATATCTGTTTGTTGCCAGAAGAGCGGGACCTGCGTGCGAGCTTCACAATCACGAGTTTTGGTATGTGAATCACAGATATATTTTTTCCGGTTTACAGGAATTACAGAGCTATAAATATTGGAAATTAACTAGAATCATGCCAGAGCAGTTCCATGTATGACCCAGACAAATTTTGTAGTAAAGTCTAGCCTGAGGCCTTGTAATAACATCTCATTTTTAGGTCCTAGGCATTGCTCTCTTGCTTCCCGGTTCAGTCTAGTAGCTGCGTACACCTTGAAGTGTGTCACTTTCCCCGCATCCCAACGTATAGAGGAAATCTTAGTAACGTAGGCCTGGGACTATTTTCAATGTAATCTCATCAGTATCTAAGTGCAGAATGGAACAAGAAATGCACCGGCTTACTGATGTAGTACTACTCTATTTATTGTCGAGTACCGTTTCTTTTTTCATTGTACAGTATCGCAAAAACTAGAGCAGTCTCAAAATGAAAGATCTTTCAACTTATATTTTGACGCCTTTTGAATTTATTTTTAGAATTCAAATCTGTATAATGACATAGGGCCTACTAATTATTGAGTCGTTTACTCTATTCATAATACATGCATCCAATAGAAAGCTCAATATTGAAAAAAAGAATATTGGTCATTGAATTTGCATCACAAAAATGCCGAACATAACATAACTATTGCAGTTTTGATTACATTACTGCTGAATTCATATTGACGGTAAATGAATTTTGCATTAAAAATTATTAATATAAATTAGTTCTGCTGTAACTCACTTTTAGGTCAATATAAATAATGTCCCCTAATATAGACAAATAAGGAGCTGAGGATGCGAATGAGTGACACAACACTGTAAGAGTCTAAAATTTATTACACAACCAAAACAAATACCTGTGTATTTTGAAACAAAAACACTATTAAACAAATAGCGGTCTGACTGAGATTTTAGTACACTGCATGCAGGCACGCAAATTGAAGACAATAGCCAAAATTGTATCAAATTACCGTATTTTATTTTTAAAATATTTTCTTTCAATGTTTTGACTCGAATCTTCTGATTTTTAAAGTATTTAATTTTAACACTTGAGACTTTCTGTATAATCTTTTGGAGACCCAGATGCAATCAGACGACCCTCAAAAATTCACTCACAGCCCAAACTTGGGTCACGACCCATGACAATTAAAGCTATCTTGTACCTTGTATCTAATATGAATCGCTGCGATAGAACTATAACAACATAATTGTCTTTGATTTATCTACTTTACCTACTTCATGAGCCGAAAACCAATTTATATTTACACGGGTAATTCCATGTCAAATCAACCAAAAAAAAAACATCAATCTCTCGGATTTTGTTCAAATTTTTGTATGTTGTTGAGGCCCATGAGAAACGATCAGAAATGACAAATTTTTTCTCTAGGCCTCCTAATTAGCGAGATATCTGCTAACGAACTTTTGGCTAATTAGCGATACCTTGCGTGTTTAACCGACCATATCTCGAAAAGTATGGCACCTACAGAGCTGATTTTGGTGTCATTTTAAAGCTATTGAGTTTA